AATAGTATATACTAATATATATATTAGTGTACATATCTATATTATTTGTAAATGTATAAAATATATATTATTTATGCCATAGATAAAAACATAGACGCACCAGGGACATGGCTCAATGTTACAATGCTTACCTAGCATGTGCGGGGCCCTGGGTTCAATCTCCAGCACTGCCAAAAGAAAAAAAAAGAAAAGCAACAACAAAACAGCACATAATATATACTCATTAAAAAAATTAAAGTTGTACAGAAGACGTGTCAGCCCTTTGTCCACACCCCGCACCACTGGCTAATCATATTTTATAGCCTCTCAGTGAACTAAAATGCACGTGGCCCTTCTGGTCTAACTTTAGCAAACTTCCTTTATCATTTCATTACGTAATTTCATTGACGATGGTCTGGTGGTGAATAACTTGCTATATGGTCTCCTTGCTATCCAGAGTGATGTGGTAGGACAGATGGGAAATTTGGCCTCAGTCAGGCTAGATCTAAGTTACTATCACTGAGCCTCAGTTTTCATTAATACATTTGATAATGCTACCTTTCTGGAAATGGTTTCAAGACTCTAAGAGCGATTTATACACTAAATGTAGACCCTAATAACATATGGCTATTTTAAGAAAACATTGTGGTCTTTTCCATATTAATTAATTCTTTAGGAACTTGGCTGCTAAGTCCAGAAAACTGTATTGGTTTTTTTATTTTCTCATTTTTTATATATCTACATCAGTTTATTATAATGTTATGATTGTATTACTGTTGTCTTTGGTACTTACTATGAGGAAAAAAGCTTTGTCAAGATAAAAATGGCATATCTAGTCTTTTAAAATTTTCCCTTAAAGTAAGCAGTCCGAAACATTAGCAAAGAAGCTTATGAAATTTCTTCTAAAGAAGTGAAAGATTTAAAAGCTGCCTTTCTTGGCTGGCTCAGACCCACCTCTTTCTAGCTGTAGGGGAGGATTAGATGACCTCTCCAGGTTCCTTCTGAGTTGTGGTTTTGTTTTTTAATGTCTGTTTAAAGATTATGCTAATACTGTTGGTGTGAAAACCTTTGTATGCAAGGATAGTTGAGAACACTGGATCATGACCTAAATTATGCCTGCCTGTTTTCTGTTGTATGTGTGAGATTAATGAGGCTCAAAACCTCGCGTTTTATATAGGCCACTGTATCTTTTTTCTTCTCAAGAAGATTTTTTAAAAAAAATTATGTGGTGTTCAAAGCAAGAGGGAGGAGTTTGATAAAAACTGCATTCAGATACAAAAGGAATTAGACATATTTTAATAACTAAGCTCAATTATCATATTGAGGCTCTGCAAGATGAATGAATACTAATGTAAAGTGCAAAGATCCAGGAGGTAATCCCCCAGACAAGACATTACTGGAGCAGCATATTAACTAGAAAAGAAATATGGTTAGAAGAGGACAAAGAATTCTTCAAATCCATAAAGATTTTATATCTAATAACTTTAGGCAAATAGACTCTGGAACTAGCTTACCTTATTTCAGATATTGGTTCTGCCCTTTATGAGTTCTGTAACCTCATTATCTGCCCTATTGCTTAGCTGTAAAATGGCAACAACAATAATAATAATAATAACTAACCTTAGTGCTGTTTTGAAGATTAAATGAGTTAATATGTATAAAGTGGTTAGCATAGTGTCTGGAATATAATATATTCAATAATACAGTTGATTCAAAATATTAGGGATTATTGTGTTTTACTTTGCTTTTGTCTTAATTTCTTTTATTTTCTGTTATATAAAATTACGGACATTAAAAAATAGAGAGGTTGGCTGCAGATTTGGCTCAGTGGTTCCACCACCTGCATCACAAGCACAGGGACCCTAGTTCGATTCCCGGTACCAAAAAAAAAGGCAAATAATACAGAGGTTTAATAAGCCCTGTTGTACTTGTCAGTAATTATTCATTCAGGGACAATCTTGTTTTACCTGAACACCTGCCCATTCCCCCTCTTCCTAATTGATTATTTTGAAATATATCTCATATATCATCTTATTTCATTTATAAGTATTTTAGCATGTATCTCTAGAACAGGTGTAACAAATAATATTCCAATATGTTTCATAAGTAAAGTTTTTAGTGCAACGAAGGACTCAAAAATACCAGTGACATTTAAACTACTTTGACCTGAAAGTATTTGAGAAGAGGCTGTTCTTTCTTTGACTCCT